AATCACTTTATCTGGTGCCTGTAAAAATAAATAATAACTTTATCTGGTGCCTGTAAAAATAAATAATAACTTTATCTGGTGCCTGTATAAACAAATAATCACTTTATCTGGTGCCTGTATAAGTAAATAATAACTTTATCTGGTGCCTGTATAAATAAATAATCACTTTATCTTGTGCCTGTATAAATAAATAAAATAATCACTTTATCTCGTGCCTGTATAAATAAATAATCACTTCAGCTGGTGCCTGTATAAAAAGATAATCACTTTATCTCGTGCCTGTAAGAACAAATAAAATAATCACTTTATGTCGTGCCTGGGAAAATAAATATTAACTTTATCTGGTGTCTGTATAAACAAATAATCACTTTTATCTGGTGCCTGTAAAAATAAATAATCACTTTATCTGGTGCCTGTATAAGTAAATAATAACTTTATCTGGTGTCTGTATAAATAAATAATCACTTTATCTGGTGCCTGTATAAACAAATAATCATTTTAGCTGTTGCCTGTATAATAAATAATCACTTTATCTCGTGCCTGTATAAATAAATAATCACTTTATCTCGTGCCTGTATAAATAAATAATCACTTTATCTCGTGCCTGTAAGAACAAATAAAATAATCACTTTATCTGGAGCCTGAATAAATAAATAATAACTTTATCTGGTGCCTGTATAAATAAATAATCATTTTACCTGGTGCCTGTAAAAACAAATAAAATAATCACTTTATCTGGTGCCTGTAAGAACAAATAAAACAATCACTTTATCTCGTGCCTGTATAAACAGATAATCACTTTATCTGGTGCCTGTAAAAACAAATAATCACTTGATCTAGTGCCTGTAAAAACAAATAAATTAATCATTTCATGTCTGTGTTAAAGTTTTAAGTGAAGAAATAGTTTACTTAGAATTGAAATAAAAATTGTTAATGCATAATGTTTTGTGAAATAATGGGATAAATCATGATTTAAAAGTTGAAATTTGGTTTATAGACTGTATTTTTTTTGTAGCTAACTTTTATTTTCTGATGGTCAGTTTTTGTCATATAGAAAGTCAACTTTTAGTTACAGCTGTGAAGCATTAAATTTGTTTTAGTTGAGTTAATTTATCATACAGATAGAGCTGTGTGATTAGTGGAATTTGCTAATCAGTTAATCATTGGGTTCATTAATCAGTTACATTCAACTAATTGGGTTTCAATACCCGTGGAGCAGAGCACAGACATCCTGTTGTGTAACTTTGTGTTTAACAACAAACAAAATGGCAATGGTTCAAGTACTTGGATAATTGGAATAATTAAAAATATTAATAGTTGGAAACCCTAAATGTGGTGAGCTGAATATTGTTGTGACATTAATCAATTAACCCCATGTGAACAATTGGATCAAAGTGCGGATGTCACAACCTTTCATCGTTTAATTCAACACTTTATTGTCAATGTATGTCATTAAACTTGACATCAAAACATAATAGTAAGAGGAAATATCTTTAGTTTTCAATGTACTCTTATAAGGGCTTCAAAATGTCTAATTAATTGGAAACATGTACTATAGATAGTGACAAACTAGAATATAATATTTGAACCTCCTATTTTTTTGGTTTATTGAAATACTCAAACTCACATGACACATTGTTTGTTTTTTAAAAGGTATATAATTCTTCCTGTCATTGCTTTTGGACATTTACAACTACTACAAAAAGCATGTTTTTCTTTATAAGATTCCTCATTCTTAGGTTTAGTTGTCTTGGTGTTCATTCACTGTTCTTCAGCTCTGGAGTTTTGGAAAGCCACTTAGTAGTTTTGGGGCATTCTGTTCTAGTGCCTAGTACATCTTTTATGTTTTAAAATGCGTATTTGTAACCAACATGAATTATATTTTGGACAACCAACATTGTGGGAAGAATTAGCCTTACTGAAGCATGCTGTTGAGTACAAATAGGCCTCAAGGCTAATGTTAGTCCTAATTTTCTTGTTTTTTATGTATATTTTTAACAAAAATGAAAATTTCCCAAGATCAACTGGAACTGTTTGCTTCTCATGATTTGTATCATGATACTGAGTGATTGTTTACCCTAATCTCTTATTCTGTTTTATGGATTTTAACCTCTGATAGAGCCTCATTAGAGGGTCAAAGGTATGCTCGTCATATAGTAATAAAAGAAGATCAAAAAGCAAGCAGATGGGAAAAGGTTAGAAGATGAGTGCTTTAGGATGAGTAATTGTTTGTTACAATCTGTAGTCTTGCTAGAAAAAAACTTTACTGGTTTTATTTTCAACTTTTTATTGTACTGTATATTAATGATTTCACTACAGTTAATATTAGGTAGGAAAATAAGAGACGAAAATTATAAAAATAAATTATTTAGAAGGTTTTAGAGGTTATGGGAACAAAAGATGAAAATAATTATTATCATCATGAAAGACACCTTTCACTCAGACTGGCTCAGTAAAGGCTTCGAATTTCAAGACTCATCTTTTATAGAAATACTGTATAAAATTCTGTTGTTTTTTTGTGTACAAAAGAATTGTAATATTTACTAAAATCTTGCCCAATTTCATGAAAATACATTAAGCAGTTTCAGAATTATAGTAAATATTCGTATGTATAGCTTCACAGAAACAGGGTCAGTCCAAAGAAATGACTCCTTGTAAATAGGTTTTTAGCAGAACAAACTTGAATTAATCAAAAATGATAATGAGAAGCCATAATAGCAGTATTTAGATTACTGGAGAGTTTGAATAACAGTAACTGTCAGACACAGTGATTTTGAATAGTTTATTATTTTACTTGACACTAATCAATGCTCATGCATAACCAATTAATCAAGTTAATCGTCCAACTCTACTTACGAACGTGAGCTTGAAAACTAAAATAATGAAGTGAAAACTGTGAACTTTTCTTTCTCTCTTGTTTAGGATAGAAAGAACAACACACTCCCTGATTTATCAACACAAGCACCCAACTCTCAGATACAAATCAGTGGATCCCAGTGCATTAAATCACAACCAAGTGGACCTCAAGAAGTGGGTTTAAATAATTCTAAAGAAACATCAGATGTTCACCTAACTGAATTTTGGGTTCATGAGTATTGTGCTTCCTGGGCTCATGGCGTTTACATTGCGGGTGTAGACCAGCAAGTTCAGGGTTTGGCTCAGGCTGTGAAGGATGCTGCAGACATGGTCAGTTATGTAGAATTTGTTCTGTTCATAGTTAATCTCAAAAGTTTATGAACACTATTTTAACTTACAGTAAAATTTTACTGAGAAATTGTACTTTCTTAAAGGACTTCTACGAACCTATCATGTGATTTACATAAATGAAATTTTAGTTACCAACCCAATAGCTATGAAACATCATAATTGTGAAATACAAAAAAAAATTATGAAATTTTCACAAGTGGTAATTTTTCATTTGAACTATGTATTTAAATATCTGTGAATCCATTTTTTTTTTGCTGCAACATATTTTCTAGCCAACTCCAGGGATTTCTGTTTAAGAAGGAGTATTGTTTATGGTTTTAGTGCCCATTTCATCTTCTTTGAACACACTATTTTTCTATCTTAAGACTTTCTGTATGAAGAAGCATTCTAAATTTGTACCTTTGCTGCTAACTGTTAGTTGGAATGTCCAAACTTGAAGATAACTATTTTCTTTTTTTTTGTCTGAGATTTGAAGCAGTTGTTGTGTCTGTTAACCTTTTATTTTCAATAAGTTAAATAGATATATATTACTTTGTCATTCATTCCAGGACTTCGACTGTTTTGTAAAATCACCATGGTTTTCAATTTGGTTTCCTTACCACAATTGTCATCAGAGATATTGGTAACTTATTGTTGCTGGGTATTGTTCATCCCTCAACATGGTAACTTGGCTGTTTATCACCTTCTGTATTAACAAGTTGACAAGGCTCCGTTAGTTTATTCTCCTACTTCATCCTACTTATAACAGAAATTGCAGATCATATTTTTGGCTCTTGGTGTTTCATGAAAGCAATGGGATTATAGTGTAAGTGAAATCATTGAACACAAAATTTAAGGAAGTATAATAACAATACGTGTTCTTGGTATTGCTTACAGTCAGTCCCATCCTCTCGGTATTGTTTACAGTCAGTCCCATATTCTCGGTATTGTTTACAGTCAGTCCCATCCTCTCGGTATTGTTTACAGTAAGTCCCATCCTCTCGGTATTGTTTACAGTCAGTCCCATATTCTCGGTATTGTTTACAGTCAGTCCCATCCTCTCGGTATTGTTTACAGTAAGTCCCATCCTCTCGGTATTGTTTACAGTCAGTCCCATCCTCTTGGTATTGCTTACAGTCAGTCCCATCCTCTTGGTATTGTTTACAGTCAGTCCCATCCTCTTGGTATTGTTTACAGTCAGTCCCATCCTCTT